CTGAGTTAGCATTTTAGCTAACAAAGTCAATGGGTTTTCTGAATGGTATTTTGGTTTGATGTTTGAAATAAGGTCTGTGGTTAACACAACCTGAAGAGATTATCACGTTTTGTTCTACAACAAAAAATACGTCAGTAAATACCCCACCTGTGTTATTAACACAAGGAGACTGATCTAGTCACTACTTGGCCTTTACAGCCTCATTGTGTTTACACTCCTGCAAACTATTCTAACTCAAACTTTACAACTTGTAGATTTTAATGACAATATTTAACTACAAGTTGGATGTTTAGTGGCACTGATGTTGAAGTCATGTGACCGTGGCTGGTTGTTTCTAGCACTAATGTTAGCTTTTTACTTCTGGAGATCACATTTAACATCCAGCTCAGAGCCATCACATGCAGCTATCACTAGTCACTTTATCCAAACACAGCGTCTAATTGTTTTCAGTGAACATCTGAACTCACGTATTCTTTCTCTCTCTGGTGTTTCTCCTCGGCTTCGGTCAGCAGAACGTTGGCCTGCTGCAGTTTGGCTTCAGTCAGTTTGTGCTGCAGGTCGCGGCGCTTGTTGATATTCTCCAAGCTCTGCAGAGAGAAGAAAAATCTAAGGTCTTACTTTCTTCTAAGGCTGAATTGTCTCATTGTTTTAGTAAAAAATTACTCCTCACAACATCCTTAAACCCAAGTCTAGAGCTGCAATGACTAGTGGATTAATTTATTATTTTTCAACTATTAATTTAAATCAATTGCTATCGATTAATCTTTTTTTCTTTTTTAAACGTCCAAATTCTCTGATTACAGCTGCTCATATTTCATGGTTTCGTCAGTCCTCTTTGACAGTAAACTGAATTTCTTTGGGTCGTGGACAAAATGAGACATTTGAGGACGTCAGCTTGGGCTTTCGTTATCATCAGTGGATATTTTTCACAATTTTTTGACATTTTATCGACTCAAAACCTCATCAGTTTATTGAGAACAAGGAAGAATCAATCATGAAAAAAAATGGTTTTTGCAGCCCTAATTAAATAGCTTGTTCTGTCCAACCAACAGTCCAAAGATAAAGTTTATTATAACACCACACCACAAAAGCAACCACATGTGACAGTAAAGACACATTATGTTTCATTAAGTTTTATAATTACTAGGCCTGCTAGTGCACATTGATAAAGACATCTCAAACATCAACTGTGCATTAAAAGTGTCTTATGTACAGCCCTACCAGTAGCTCTCATTAATGTCTTATTACAATCTATAAACACGTTGACCTTTGACCCGCCTTACCTCCTCCCTCAGCTCGCACTGGTTCATGAGGCTCTCCAGTTTGTCCGTCAGGTTGGTGTTTTCGTGGCACAGCTTGTCGTTTCGGGTGCTGTGCTGCTCGATCTGAGCCTGGATTTCTGTCAGCATCATCTGGAAGTGGTTGGTCATCTCCGTCCTCTTCTCCTCATCCTCCTTGCAGCGCTGAAGGGTCTCCTCCTGGAGGCGGGAACAGGACAGAGAGGGACCAATGAATGGAAGGATGGATGGTAAAAGAGGTTCAATAGTGGCTCTGACTTTATCTTCTACTTCAGTTTATAGTGTCTTAGAATGTAAAATACCACGTCAGTCATCAGTACTGCTCCCAGTAATCGTACAGACGGCAGTACATCCAGCACCCACATACCCTCAGTACGCTGTAGTGTCCCTGCAGCTCTCGGCACAGAGTCTCCAGTTCGCTGCGAGCTGTGAGGCTGCTGCGACTGTCAGCCTGCAGCTGCTGCCGCTCATCCAGCAGGACGGACAACCTCTGCTGCAGCACACACAGCCTCTTCTCATCAGAGCGCCGCAAGGCTGCCTGTACACACACACACACAC